TTTTTGTCTTTGCCCCTCTTTGGAATAGGTTGTGTGCATTCCATTAAACAGATCCCAGGAGCAGGGAACATGGGCATTATGTTCTGGATGTTGGAAAACACTTGGGCCAAAATCCTGTGGAGGAAAGCAAGAGGCTGTAGGTCACTCTAAAAGTACGCTGATATCCAATTTAATTTTTTTTTTAACTAAAAAAAAAAATACTTTCTTAGTTTTTACAAAAAAAGTCCAAAATCCTGTGGAGGAAAGCAAGAGGCTGTAGGTCACTCTCAAAGTACGCTAATGTCCAATTTAATTTTTTTTAACTAAAAAAAAAAAAAATGCTTTCTTAGTTTTTACAAAAAAGTGCACACTAATTAGTTCCTAATTTTATTCTTGAGCGTGCTCTTGCACAAAATTTCATTAGTATAGATTGTTTAATGAGGAGAATTGTAACAAGTGTGGCTTAGGGTAGCCACACATCCTGCTGTTCACACGCTCAGGGGTTGTTCCCTGTCCTCTGTGGGGTGTAATCAGTTCGTGGGCTGCCTGTGCTGTGGGGTTACATCCCTGTGCCTCTGTCTGTCTGTCTGTCTGTCTGTGTGGTTGGAGTGAGATGGCTTCTGCAGCTGGATGGAGCCCTGGTCAGCCCCTGTTAGCTGCATGTGTGAGTTTTATGGAGTACACCGAACCAGGAAACAAGATGTTGTGATTGTATCAGAAATCCATCCTTACGTGTATTTCCAGACTCTGCCATTGCTGCAGTATCAAGCAACAGCAAATGCATTCTGAGTGCATTTTCTGTCAAGTAAAATTGCAGATTTATCCCTTTCTGAGTCTGTGTATAATCACACTCACATCGTCATTCAAGTTTTAAAAAATTTTTGAAGGGAAAAAATCCCCCAAACATTTCACATAATCTATTCAAAATAATTCTAATTATTTTTCTCATGTATGTTCTGTCTTCAGTTTATGACCTGTACAGTATATTTATTTTGACTGTCACCACTTGACATATTTTCTTGTCATCTCATAATTAAAGTGTCCACTGGAAAACTTCAGTGTAGGTTTTACTGTGTTTTCTTTACATAATCTCCAGTTCAGTGGTGAAAGGCAGAGCTCAGGGTGCTGCAGTCACAGGTAAAGTAGGGGCTGTTGTGCTGCACTGAGATTTTGGAGGTTCAGATCATTTCTCATTGATCTCCCCAGTGGATTTTGGCCGTGCTTTTTTTTTTAAATCTATGTTTATGTGTTTTGCTGGGCTGAAATTTTTTCTTGTTACTGTTTCCCATGTGCTGATAGAAAACCCAAGAATTCTTCACATTTTGATACATTGTTGTTAGGGTTGGTGGGATTTTGTTTTATATTTGGAAATTTCACTTTGGCATGTAGAAAGTCAAGCTGGTATTAAGTACTTACAGCTTTGATTTGTATTCTTAATACAATTTGTAATATTTGGGTTAAATAAAAATATTTTAAAGCTAAATCCTTGCAATCTTCCATTATAGGACTGAAAGGAGTTTAGAATGAATGAAGTATAAATTTAATTTATTTTAAACGCTTTAGTCTTCTGGAAGCTGTAATTTCTTCTTTCTAAAAGAATTTTGCTTTCCAACTGTATTTTTCTGTGCTGTAAGTGCAGCGCTCTAATAAAGCCCTGATAATTCTGCTTGCTACCACAGCAAGTTTGGGAATGTTCAGGAGCAGTTCAGTTTCCTGGAGAAGAGTGACTCTTTGGTGCAGTGAAACCCTGGGTTAGTGGCCGAGGGTGAATGATCACAGAGTGGAACTGCCTGTTCTAATGGCCCTGTCAATGTCCTGAGTGGAGCAGTGCAAATTGTGTTTCAGAATATTATGTCTTGGTCTGGCAGCCAAATGGTGCCTCTGCAAAACTGGCACATATGTGAAAGCTTACAGTAAAGCAGATTAATATTTTTATTTTGGTCTAAGTAAGACCAAATGCAGGTGTTTTTTGTGTGAAATTAAAAATGTTGCAAATGTTACTTCTCTTGCAGCAGCAGCAGCTGGTTACTTCACTTCTCACTTGTTCAAAGAGTCTGTAAGTTTAAAAATGAGAATTCTCAGAGGGGTTTATTTTGCTACAGCTCAGTGCTGTACAAAATGTAAAACAACTTACTGCTCTTCTAAGCAAGAGGATTCCAAGAGCAAGGAGAAAAAGCTGCTGATGGAGTTCTTTCATTTGCTTACTTGATGCCAGATGTTGCCAAAATCTTCTACCCAGACCATTTTAGATCTCCCCAAGGGAGTTGAACGGTGAAATATTCACACTTAAGCAGGTTCTTCACTTTGTTCACTGAGGTGGTTTCATGCCAGAACTGTGGAACATGGGATTCATCAGGTAGATCAGGGGTGGGGTGGAAAATAAAATAATAAATAAAAACTATGGATCTGGAAATGCCAGTTGTGTTGTTATGAAGCTGTGGTACATTTTTGTGAAGCTGCTGAAGGGCAGTAACTTGGTTCCCCTGCCAGCAAGGAGGGGATCCCACATCATGTATGGCATGAGGAGGCAAACGTTGGTGCTAGAAAGGGAAATAAAATTGAGATCTTGTTCTGGCATGGTTGGTTCTCATCCTTCACAGGAACACATTGTTTGGGGTTTGATGTGGCAGCTGCTCCAGGCCGTGGTGTTCTCGTTTTTTAATATCTAAATGTACAAAAGAGGTATTTGCTGTTAAACCTGAGGGCTGTTTAAGTACACAGAGAGTCAAAAGGTGATTTTTGAAAATGGGAGCTGAGTGTGATGATCACAGACTGTCCCTCACCTGCTGTGCCCAGGGATCTGCAGCTCTCTTGTGCAGCTGATGGGAAATTCAAGCAAAAAGTACAATATGACAGCTTGCTTCTGCTATACTGAAAGAGGGATCCATTTCTTTTAAACCTCCAAATTTCAATTTTCATTTTAATAGCGAGGTTTTGGAATTGCCTGTGTTTTTTCTTGATGGCAGAAGAAGCTAGGAAGTGTGGCTATACTTCACATCCTGCTTGGCTTTTTATGAGTTACACAGCAAACAAAGCAAAGGGAAAAGGATATTATCATACTTGCTGAAAAATAAAGTCCAAGCCTTTTATATTCCAAGGAAACGGAGGCAATTAGAGAACAGAAATTGGATCTTTATACGTTTTTGACATGCCTAGAGAACAGAGGAATGAAAATGTGTGTGCTGTGTTGTATGATTTGGTAACTAAAGAACTTCTGGGTCAGTCTGTGGTCACTTAATTTATGTTTTCTACCCAATTTTTATGTGGTCTAGGCCATGATAGTAGCAATACCAGAAGGAAGATTACCTGGTTATCTTTATTATTATTATTATTATTTTGGGGTGTTAATTTCAGTCTCTTAATTCTTAGTCCAACTGAAATTTGCCATGATGAATATGTTTGAGCAGAGTTATTCTGCCAACTTAAAAATGACTCAGCATCTTGAGAATGACTCTAAGTAAATATGTTAATTTATAAGAAAGGCAGGATTCTTCTTACTTAAGAGCATATCAGCAGTTGAGTTGTGGATTTTAGTGTTGCAGAGGGGAAAGGATCATAAGAATTCACATGGAGCATGTTCTTTGAGAACCTTCAACAGACCAAAACCTCTTGGAAAAAACTGCTTTCTATAGTACTGGGCAAATATTTATTATCTAAATTACCTGAATATTCTGTGAGTGTCTTCCTGTCTGTTGGTCCTTGCATGTCACCTGCCTGGGCAGGCATCACCTGGACCAAGCAGTTCAGCCTGATGCTGCTCACAGCAGTAGGTGATGGGTAAGTTTAATCCTAAATAGTCTTTTCTACCCCAGAACACTTAGGCAGCAGTCATAACTCTTGGGAGGATGGAGGCTTGTGTTTGGGAGAGGTGGGAAGCAAGAGTGGAGCAGGAAAGGAAGAGTTGTTATTTTATCCTCATTTAAAAAAAAAATAACAGTTAATTTTAAGACCTAAACTTAGTAGCAAAACAAAGTTAGTTGTTATTTTACCAAATGTTGGAGTCAGAACATTCTGGGAAGATTCTGGAAAAGTTCGTGATGGATTGGAGTTGGATTTCACAGAGGGTTGCAGGACCTGGATTTTCTGTCACTTCCAGTTTTCTATGTGTCACTTTCAGGTCCAGGTTAATGCTTGATTCATTAATGGGGTTGTTATTCCAGAAATCATTAAAGATACAAAAATTAAATAATTGGTAAGGGAACATCCTGATCTTGATGAATTGTTTAAATGCCAAGAATGTGTAGAAGGCATTTTCTTATTCCATTCAACATCCAAAGTCCATTTTAAATGCATTTATTATTTAAATAAAAACTCCTATTCACCCTTCAGCTGTACTTCAATAGCATCAGGAATTCACCCCTTCATAGAATAATTGGAAACTTTTATGGTTTTATAATAAAAAGGTTGGAAAACATAACATATGCTTACACAAACTGCTCACATTGTAAAGTATTCAATGGCAATAAAGGCAGAGAGACTGGTGGTTATTCTGTGTCTTCCTTATGAAACCACAAAGTATAAACACAAAACAAGATTCATTTCAGTCATAGTTTATTGGGTGCTGATGCAAATCATGATTAAAATGGGATTTCCTGTTGCTTTTGTTTAATTTGCCTGGAAGGAGATGGTTGCATGAGTGTCTCCAAAATGAAGACATTTGAGATGTACTCGTGTGTATATTCCAAAGGCTTCAGTGGCAGAGGGATGGATTTGTGTCTGGGACATCAGCAACCCTGTTTATCCATGTGGGGAATGCCAGAGAAATGGTGAGAGTGGTGGAGTTCTCCCTTTTTTTTTTTTTTTTTTTTTGTGTTTTTTTTTTTTTTTTTTTGTGTTTTTTTTTTTTTTTTTTTGTGTTTTTTTTTTTTTTTTTTTGTGTTTTTTTTTTTTTTTTTTTGTGTTTTTTTTTTTTTTTTTTTGTGTTTTTTTTTTTTTTTTTTTGTGTTTTTTTTTTTTTTTTTTTGTGTTTTTTTTTTTTTTTTTTTGTCTTTTTTAAAATGAAATTTGTTTTGAAAAAGTAATTAAATATCAAGTGAGCAGGAGTTGTACAGGATCAGTTCCAGCTGTGGAAGTGCTGATACACATCCTCTGGGATGTGAGGAGTGCTTGGAGTCTTTCCAATGCCACCCTCTTGCCACAGCAGCAAGGCAGATGTGACAGCATCTTCCTGATTTTTGAGTCCAACATGTTATGAAAGCACATTGGGTAAAAACTGAGGGCAAAAACTCCTTCTCTGCCCTGTAACAATAAATATGTATGAGGATTCTTGATGTGTGTGTGAGGATTCTCATGCTCGACCCATCAAGTCCTTCTGTTTGTGGTCTTAAGAATACAGAAAAAAAGAGGAATCTTCATTTATTATATGAATATTGGTGGTGGATGAGAGAGTGATGGGAAATATTTTTGCTCCCTCATACCCTAATCCCTCAAGAGTTTTGGAACAATTAAAGAGGGAGGTTTCCTTTCCCCCAAGTTTTTGTTCTTGCCAAAATTGCTGTTTAGTCCCCTAAATTCTTTACTATTACTTTATGGGGCTAATAAAGCAGCGTCAAATTACAGTGTGAGTTGGGTAAGGAGAAATGAGATGCTGCAGGAAGTTCCTTGAATTTGAGGATCTTTCCATAGTCAGAAGAATGAGGATTATTTTTCAGAAGATAGGAGAACAACCTGAGGATTCCCTTCCAGAATTCCAAGAGCTACCTGGGGGCAGGATACCTGGCATACATCATTTTATGACAGGATTGGGTAGAATTCCTCATTTTTCTCGTCCTTGTTAAGAAGGACTGTGGCAAATTGGGATGACATGGAATCAGGAATGTGGCCCATGATTTTGCACCTTTCCCTAGAAATATGCTGGTGTACACACCAAGGATGTGTGCAGAATCAGGAGCTGGACTTCTTCATAAGACCAAGATCCCCTCAGTTTTATTTCTGTTGTTGTGCCTGGAGAAATTCCTATGATCTATGCATCCTTAATACTCATTTTATCTGTTAACAGCATATGCAGTTTTAGCTTATAAAGTGGCACATTTTAAATTTTTTAATTTGGTACTTGCAAATAGGAGAATTTACAGAATTAAATGTACCAAAAGCAGAGTTTAAACAAAGAGTGAGTTGCTAAAGGAACACAAACCTTGTGATGAGATGGTTTGGTGTTGGTCATGCTGTGTGACAGTGTGTGGTGGTGCTTGGGAGGTGGCCTGAGGTATGAATGCTTTGGATGGATTGTTAAGGTCTGAGATGGAGGGATATGAAAAGGGGATGCTGGGAAAGATTATCGGGACAACAAAGCAATAGATACACTGTTGGAGAGGCCTTGCTGAATAAAGTCACTATTACATGGCATCTCTGTTCAAAATCTTACATGTAAAGAAAGGTTGATGGTAGCTTGGAGTGTAGCCTGTGTTTCTGCAGAAATTCAACTTTAGTTGTGGATTTTAATTTATTTTTAATTTTCCATTTCTTAAAGTATAATTTGCATTCATTTTTAATGTAATTTCATATTCATCAAGATTAACATATAAATAACTCTATTGCACCACCAAACAATAAAGGGAACAAAGTGACACAAAATAAATCTCATTTTACTGCAACCCAAAATTGGTTTTGTGGCTTTTTAGGGCTTGACTCCCAGGGCAATTGGCAGCATAGCTGTTGGGGAGTAACTGAGTGGCTGCATCTGTGTGATGGAACTCCCTGAGGCTGGTATTATGTTCCTGAGCAGGAACATTGTCTTTTTAAAAGTATAATATTCTAAATAATGACTGTACTTTTTAAGTACATGAGACAGAGGAAATGGAAACCACCTTGGTGCTGAATGAGGAGAACAGTTTTAATAAACTTGTCTGCATCAACTTCATATTGATTTGTTTGTCTTAATTTCTGTGAATGACTCTACGTGGGCAGGTCAGTGAAAATGGAAGTGAGCTGCAGCAAAGGTGGAACGAATCCTGGATGTTGGCATGTGTGCTCTACTTACTGCCTCATTATTGAATCAATTATTACTATCATTATTTGAATCTCTAAAAACACATGGATCTTAATGTCTGCTCGTATTTGTGCATGTGAATGTCACAGGTCTTTGCTTCCTGTGCTGTGAAATGCAGAATGAGAGGATGACTCAAACAAGGGCTCCTCGGTGCTTGAATGAACAAGTTCCTATTTTACTTTGTAGTTAAAACCTCGGTGCTGATTCACTTTCCGAGAGACAAAGCAAGTTGCCCTTTGTTTTGGTTTCATAGTTAGGTATTTTTATTATGATGGCGTTACTTTCAAGCTTGTCTGCCAGAGGAATTAAAGGAAAACAAAAATGGGCAATAGCAAGTCCAGGTTAAGACTCCACAGTGCCTGGGTGTTGTCTCCACCCTGTAACAGGTGTATCTGCTCCCTCTTCCTTCTCCCACTGAAATGTGCAAGAAGACATCGTCCTCTGCAAGCTCAGATCTCTCTTGCCTGTTGTGTTTTAGGGTTCAGCAGTGTTAGGTGTTGTCCAGTGTCTCTTTGAAGAGGGCAATATCACTGCAACATCCTCTGGCTCCTTCTCAGCCACATCCTTCCCTCTGCAGCATCTTTCACCCAGGCCTGCATTTCTTTAGCACCTCTTTGTTCCTGCTCTGGATATCTCATAAGCTGCCTAGAAATTTGCTTTTTCCAGAGTTTCAGCTGAGGGCTTTGCAGGCAAGCGCTACTTCTTCATATGCTGAATATTTGACTGACCAGATCTGGCAGCAGTGGCCCCATCAGTTCTTGGCTGCAGTTATTTCTGAATGCAGGAGCAGGATTTTCAGGTTTGCAATAGTCCTCCTTATGTCTGAGCAGAGACACAGAATGGATAATTCATCTATTTATCTATCCTGATTTATCTGTCAGTGACCTCTGTTCTGAAGATGCCATGAATAGTGAGAAGTCTTGTATTTGAAAGTAGCCCAGTAAATTGAAGTGAGAATGAGTACCAAAATGCATGGCATTTGAAGAAGGGAGCAAGAGGGTTACACTGTCCTCAGAACAGAATTAAGAAGCTGCAAAAATGAGAGAATCCCATTTTCTGAAGATATAGATCTTTGACAGTTTAAGGAGAAGTGGTAAGAACTTTTAATGTACCATCTGCTTCTTGAATCTTCAAGACCAGGTGTATCACTTTGGGCTGAAACTCCTTCTTGCTCAGTGTTCAGTCTCTAACCAATGGCTGAAATTTAAACTGCCTTAAAACTCCTCAAGTACCTTCCCTGCCCTGTTTAGAACCAGGTTTCATGAGCCAGAGATGGCATCTAGATTGAGTGGCTCTTGACTTTTGTTTTTTCTGTGAACTTGTCTGAAAACCATCACTTTGTGGAAAGCAACACGTCCATAAATTTTAATTCATTTAAAGACCAATTCAAAGACCAATTTCATCTTGCATTCAAAAATGTTTGAGTTACTTTCTCTCTAGTTCTTATTGTGAACTTTATCTGTGTGAGAAACAGAGATAATCAGATTCGAGATCTCAGCTGTGTTTTAGCCATCATTTAATTTCTGGTGGCCTCTGTGCAACCTTAGTGTCTGGAACGTCTCCTGAGATGGTTTCTTAATGCTTTTCAGCAGTTGTGTTTTCTGAGTATGTTTTCAGGATCTTTGCTACTGTGCTTTCACAATCCTTACTGCTTTTTAAAAGTAGCTTCACTGTATCAAATGGGTGCTATTAAATGTAATTAAAGTAATTTTAAGTGGTAATTTTTGGAAAGCTTTTTAAAATGGTCAAATAATCCTGTAGCAGAACCTGTCTTCACAGAAGACAGGATCCTAACAATGGCCCATTTCTAGCATCATGCTTTGATTTTACCATGGATTGTATTCAAATTATTATGAAGGAGATTTAAATGGGGGAAAAAATCTCTCACCTTTCTTGATTTCATGCTTAATTTTCACAGCAGGGGTGAGTTACTTCTATTTGCATTTCAAGGTTTTATTTTTGGATGTGTCTTGTCTACTCTTGGCAGACAAACACTGAGCCAAGGAGTAAAATATGAAGGTTTAACAGGGAGGGAGTTATTATCCAAATGGAGCCTTCTGCTAGAGGTGTCAACGGAGACAAAGGTGAATGTAGAGAATGAATGGAATAAGATGAGAGAAAGATCAAATAATGGGATAAGAAATTCAAGCGTGGGATAATGGGTGTGATTAGAGATTATTAACAATGCAAAAATTTGCAAAACATGCAAAAAAATTCCTGTCTGTTCGTTAACACTTGATGAGGGAACCACATAATAAAACAATTTTTAAAAAATTATATTGAGTCTTAGAATGTTTGTTCTAAGGTGTTATTTTCTTCTGACTTTCTCTGTTGGTTTTTAGGTTTCTGTCTTCCACCTTGTACATAAGTGGGATCTCTGTGCTGGAACAAGATAATGTCTTCAACTCATTGAAGGAAAGGGGTGAGCAGCTTTCTCATGGCCAATATTTTGTCTTCTTTAGAAAACAGCATGCCCTGGAAATAAATATCATCCTGTATTGTTTTGAAAAGAAAGCCGGTTCTAGTTGCTTTTCATGTGTCAAAGAGAATTGATTTTTGTTTCTTTTTAACTGGCTGTGTGAATGTAAGGATCTAATGTTACATAGCAAGTGCCAGGACTAAAGTTAAATGAGAATGAACAAAGAGCCATGCTGAATCTGCCAGTCATGCATTTCTCTCTGAAGGACTTCAAAGAAACATGTATGAGGGAAAATTAGAAGGAATGATTACTTGTTAACAAGTCTGTTGGGTAGTTCCTTCACAACCCTAAGAGAGTTGGTGGTTCGGTCGTAGCCTGAAGCATAACTATTTATATCTCTTACAAACATCTGTTGTAGCTTGTGTATGTTAAAAATGATACCACAGATCTCCAGCAGCTCACTTGTACCTTCTGTTAACGTTACTGGGTGGTCCCTGTGCCCTTAATTATGAAGGAGTAAGTGAAACAAGCAAGGAGTGGAGTGATGAATGTTAAGTGATCACTTTGTGTGTATGTTTCAGCTCACATTTAATCTCTTCTCTTACATACTCAACTTGCACAAGCTCTCCACATTCTAATTATGATTGCCCCTCTTCATTTAGCTTCCTTTCTGCTTTACATTTTCCTTCGTACCTCATTTTATAAAAAGCTTCTTTTTTTTTTTTTTTTTCCCTTTGCTTTGTAGACCATGCTCTTTTATGAACTCCCTTTCGCCACAGGTATCAGTGGAGTTTCTGATTGCAGGTCATGCATCAGCTTCCAGTTACATGACCTTAAGTTTTTCCTTGGGTTTTCTACACACTTTACTTTCAAAATAAATAGAATGAGAGTGAGTTCTGTTCTGTGTGAAGCAGACCAGCAGACTCACCCTCAGGTTATTTCTGTTGTTTGTAAGTCTTTGAATATAAAACAAAAACACACTTTTCCCTCTGCTCTCAATTTCTTTCACAGAGAATAATTGGCATTTGGAAAGCTGAGGTGTTCAGAAATCAGATATTCTTGGGTTCACCTCAGATACCCAAACACTCTGTGTCCTGAGGCAGAGTGTGCTGGTTGGGGATGGTCTGTGAGCTGGGAATGGACACCCACCAGTAGGTCAGCCAAGAGCAGGGCTTGCTTGAGTGCACCACAACCACTTCAGACCACGTCAGCTGCTTTCCATCACAGCCACCTTCAGCAGGGAGAGGCCTGAACCAGCCTGGCTGACTCGGTGTAAAAAGGATCAGAAACCATCCACGGGTTGTGTGAGCTCGGTGGAGGAGCTGTGGAAGCGATTAGCTGTGGCAGTGATAAACATCTGGGAGCCATAGCAGCCCCATCGCTGTCTGCAGCCCGAGCATCTGCTGGGGCTGTGCCTGCTAACCAGCCCGCCTCCCAAATGAGGGCCTGAACCGCAAATCTGTAAATACCTTCTCAGTTACTTTTCTTAAAGTTTAACACTGTTTCTTGCCTCTGCTGAGCAAGCGATGAGGAAATGTTTCTTTTTAGTGAACAGAAGTAATTCCGCAGTTAATTGCCTCAGTTTAAGAGTGTGATTAGCTCAATTTGTTCTTCTTGATTTGCAGTAGTTGTCTTCACTAAATCTCATCAGTTCCTATCTTGCCTAATAGCTTAATCTTTTTCTACAGTAATTATAAGTCAGAGGGGAAGCTCTTGTGAGAAATAAAGGAAATACCCATGTAGAATTCTTTCCAGTCATTCCCCTGGGAGAAAATGTGGCAAAAGTCCTTCTAGATGCAATAATCTATGGATCTAGCTCAAAGCTGAGCACCTCCTTTCTTCTTTTGTGTGGCCTGAGGGCCTTCCAGATGTGGAACGTCTCTTCATTATGGAAATCTGGAAGGAGGGGTCAGTCCAGCTTGTCTTGTTCTCCAAAAATTCTTGCCATGTCCTACTGTCTTTACCAATTTACATGTATTATCTTTGTGGCCTCCCTCTCCAGGTTTTTCTTCATGCCACAAATATGATCTTGCATCCCTCTGAGCTCTTAAGACTTTCTTCCTCTTCTACAAGTGGTACTTTTATTTTCTCATTTTTGCCTAAGAATTTCATATTTCTCCCACAGTTAAACAATTTCTTTAGCAGTGTTTTCAGTGGGATTTGGCTTTAAAATAATCATTAAGTAGTGTTTGCTCTTTCTTTGTTGATCGTTTCAACTGTTCTTCTTTTATTTTGAGGGTAGTCTGGTCCATACTTTGGATGTCACAGTCATAAATTAAATGTATGTCTTTTGAGGAGGAAGAAAAGCAGCATTTTCTATGTGCCTGTTCACTCTGTCAATAAAGACAGGAACTTGCATTGGCTGTCAGCTGCCATTTATGAAAGAAAATAAATGTTTAGACATCAGACAAATGCTTACAGGGCTGATGCTTCAGAAAGTGTTCCCTTAAAGTATTTTGAGAGGTGTCTCACTTACTGTGGCAAATGCTGATTTAGCTTTTAACATCAAATGATTTGTAACTGTAAAAAAAAAAATTAAATCTGAAGTACTTCTATCAGTGAGTGCTTTGTATTTTAATTTTGGTGGAAAAATCAATAGTGTTTTTGGAGTTTCAGAGAAAGAATACTGATGTTCTGTAAAAACAGATACAACCTGGTTTTTAGAGGAAACCAAGTTTACATCATCGTAGTGAACTTCTCTGGTCTTTGAAGCTGTTTAAAAAAAGATTATAAAAATTGCACTCATACTTAGGAATTACACTGAGTGAGTTTGATGAAGAGTAAGGTTTGAGGTTTCTCCCAAGGAGTTTGGTTTGTCTCTGTGCCTGAAACTGTTGTCAAAGAAGGGAACCTTGAAATTTGTCCTGTGTTTGCAAAATGAAACACTCACTTGAGACTGTTATAATCTGCAGGGGAAAATATCCAGAAATGTAAAAATTGCTTTTAAAAATGGTCATATGCAGTAGCAATATGCAATAAGGGAAGGACTTAAAATAGTTGAAAAACTTGTAGTGATTGAACACATTGAAAAAAAAAAAAATTGTGTTTCAGATCTTAAAGTGGTGAAAATTTTAAGACTTAGTTCTTCAGTACTGACATAAGTGAAAATGAGCAGAAAGCCTGGAATTATTACCTGGATATAATGTTTTTCAAGACATGAGCTCTGACTTCTTTTTTAATACGGATTTTTTTAACAGTAGCTAAACATTAGAACTCCGATGTGTCAAGGAAAATTGACTTGTGTGTTAATAGTTACTGGTAATAGCTTAATGAGTTACGTGATTTCAGTTGTAATGGCTGCAGATCTGAAAAGAAAATGAAATGTGAAGTAATAATTTGTTGGCTACACTCTATCTGGTGGTGGTGCTTTGCTAATTTATTTTTTTTTAATTATGGTATGTCTTAATTTAAAAACATTTAACTCATCTGGGCACCAAACTCCAGCTAATGCCTAGAGAGAATAACATGATGCATTTACTTGTGTTTAAGTCCTGTTGTAATTAATACTTTACAAAGTATCAAATGTCTCTGAAATTGAGAGTTCTGAATTCCTAGGTCCCTTTTGAAACTTTATAATCACGTGGGCCCAATTGTTTAAAAAATTGTTTTATATTGTTCCATTCTTTGTTGAACCTTAAATGACTTGGATGGCAAATTCCTGATGTTGGAAGTGACTTGAGGCTTGGTCTCTCAAAGTAATTTCAGCCCTTTAGAATCTGGGATTCACACCCAAAAGTGAAGGATATTCCTTAGCATTTTGCATTTGCTTCATCATTTTAAACTATTATTTTTTCAGTTACAGTGATGCTCAGTGGGTTGGGAGCCTTTTCAAAATGCAGAAACACAAACCTGCCTGTTTCTAGATTCATTAGAAATCTAGGTAGTATTAGTTCTATTAGGATTAGAATTCTAGTGTAGTATTACCTTAGAATTTCAGCTAACTAGTGCAGAAATGCTGAAGTTCACTTGAGCTTGTGAGTATAAAAAACCTCAGCCTCTTACTAAAAGTTTTACTTTAAAATATAAAGAGACAATGAACTTTTTGCTTATAAAACCTGTTATATTTCCAAACTGAATTTATTTGTTGTTTGAATTGGCACATGGCCGTTGTTGTCAATAAACTCTCAGAGAGGTGTGCATAAATCTGAATTTCTACCTTTTTTCTTCACCCTTTAGAACTGAATTCTAAGTGGCCACGTTTTTAACTGACTATTTTTTTTTCTTTAAAGACTATTTGTTCACACTTATGATGATTTGACACAATTAATGTCTTAATAACCATGATGGCAACACAGACATTAAGTATAGACAACTATCAAGATGGACAACAGGTAGGTGTGTTTTCATTTCTCTAGGAGCTAAATACACTTAGGAAGAGGGGAAAAAAAATAGTGACTTTGTCCTTAGTGCCTGCTTTGACATTGTTTGAGCTGGAATAATGAAACAGTCGGGTATATATGGTCATGTTTCTTTGTTCTAAAACAGGCTGTATAGTTTTACACTTCAAGTTGCTAAATTAAAATGCTGTTGGTTGGAGGCAATTTGTGAGGTGGCCTCTCCTCTCAAGACCCATTTTTCTGTTACTCTGTGTTAGCCCTAAGCTTTAGCTGCAAGTACTTCTGTCAGCAGATGGCAACAATGGGGAACAGTCAGAAAAAAACCAGCAACTTTCCACATCTCCTATAAAATGGTCATCTGAATGCAGTCAGGTTTTTGATTTTTAGTTTTATTGTTTGTTTCTTTTATTGCAATTCTAATTTCTCTCTCTCCTCTCACCTACTTTACATATTTGACTTTATTCCCCCAGCAAATACATACCGTCCTGTGGCAGTGAAAGTAAAATATGTTTTTTTCTAAAGAACAGATTGGGGGAGAACTTTTTCTTCCTATTTGTTGTGTATTTCAAGTTCTCAGTGTCCAAGGTAGACAGGTAATTCAGGTGCCTGCTGTTTTTCTACTTTGGAAATGGCCCACAGGAAAAAACTTACAGTTTTAAGTGAGCTGTTTCCTCCTCCTAGGGCAATAGAACCCTAAATGAACACACTCCCTCCCTTCAAACTCTGCAGATATATGGCCAACATTTAGAATCACTTGTCTGAGTCATCCCCTTCTAATTTGCTCCTCCTTCCTGTCATTAGCCAAGAAATTAGTCCATTAGTTACCTTTTTTTTAAGCATTCTGGCTTGAAAATCATCTCTGCTTGCTGGGGGAGCTCTCTGCAAGGCAGGCTGCTCTGTTGGGTGAGAGATGCTGAATTTTCTCAGTTTCTGATTTTTCTAGGAGATGGCTTGGCCCCCTTAGGAAATAAATCACAAACCTTTTGGTTCTCCTAGACTGTAAAGAATAGTATAAATTTTTCTGCTGGTGTTATGTGGAAATAAATTAAACTCTGTTAAAGTCAGGCTCTCTAATAGTTTCTGGAGCTGTCAGTTCTGGGTGCCTGGAGATCCCTAGAGCAGTGTCTGTCCTCTACCTGAGATAAAAGAGAATTAAGAGAAAATACTGCAGTGGTTTCATGTCTTTGTGGAGATGCTCAAATGGGAGAAGACCAAAGAGTTTGGGCTGAGTGGAGGAAACTGTGACTTTCACAGTTCAGCTTCCTGGAAGACCTTTTAGTCCAAAAGATATTTAGCTGGAGGTGATGGAAAAAACACCTGGAACACCTTCAAAGCACCCCAAAGGTGTGCCCAGCCTCCTAATGCAATTTAGGAGGTGCTCAGGTGAAGCTGTGGCTCTGTGGTGCTTTTCCATGGTATAAATGTGGGTTAAATGGATGTGTAGGAGGAGTTACTGCTGTTCTCATGTAGTTTGATAGCCCTAAAATACTTGGTTCTTGCAATATGTAAAATGGAGCGCTGAAGGTCATGGGAGGTTATGCTTCTATAATTGAAGGACTGGAGGGACACAGAATATTTCAGATTTTTTAAAGCAAATGTGCATTTTAGTGGACAAAAAAACCTTCTTCGTACCCTTATACAATGCACAGTAAAAAATAAAAAAGAAATCTTAAGTGCATAAACTTTTCTTTACATTGATTTCATCCTAAAGGATTTTTATGCAGACATTCCCATGAACTTTTTGGAGCAATGTACTGTAGGCTATTCCAAAAACAGCCACTTCAGAGACAAAATGCTTCAACAATTTACTAATATCTATCATTCCCATTTTAAAGCCAAATGCAAAAACTTGGAAATGACCTTTATCCATCAAAAAGTGTCAGGGATTAAAAGAGGGGTTTTGTTGCTGCTGCAACTTCTTGTGTCACTGCCAAGTCACACCAACCTTCTGGCAATCTAGGAGCCCTTTGCACTGCTCTTTCCTTAGAACACAGCACCCTTATTTTACGTCAGGGCTACAAATTTAACTTTTTTTTTCCTATAGATGCAAGTGGTAACAGAGTTAAAAACTGAACAAGATCCCAACTGCTCTGAAACTGATGCCGAAGGGGTGAGTCCTGCCCCTGTGGAATCTCAGACTCCAATGGATGCAGACAAGCAGGCCATTTACAGGTAGTGATGGACTCCTGTTCTCCTGTTCTGTCTTTTGAAGGGTGAAGGATAGGGTAGAGGATTTGGGGTTTTTAATAAATAAATGATAACTAGCTTAAAATCAGGTGATCTCTTGGCTCTCTCCATCATTTATAAGGAAAGAGTGAGACCAACTAGGCTTCACTGTCAGTCATCAGCCAAGGAAAAACCTCCTGAGCTTGTGGGATTTTTCAATTTCAGCAGTTTTAAAGGGTATTCTAAGGGTGGTTGCCAAATTTAGAAAGCTGCTTTAGCCTTTAAACTGTGGTCACTATTTGTCATATTGTTGTTTTTATTTTCGATACAAGTTTTTACTTTTATTGTAATTAGGTCAATCTTTATTCCTTTTCCTTTAGGGATAACAATCTGTTCCCCAGTAATTAGCTCAAAATGGATTAAATGTTGATGTATGAGCACGCTAATTTGAATTTTTTCAGTGAAAAGTGCTGTGCTAAGCAGTTTGCTCAGTTTTCATGGGGTTAAGTGTTCTTTTACCTTAACTGCTTTATAAAGACAAAATTATTACTGGTTTTCAGGTTAAAAAAAAAAAACCAAAACAATCACCAAAACAGGAAAAAGCCAAACAAAACATCAAAAAAACCTCAACATGAGGCAGAAAGATGTATCCATTCGTTTATAGACTTGTGCTAACAAAATCTTCTCCTTAGAGCAGGATTTCACAGGAGGCCTCTGAATATTCTTCTCAATTTTTTAGAGTTATTTCATGATGTATAAGTGTGGCCCACACCGAAGAACAAATTCATTTTATCAGGCTTCATTTAAATGTGCATTCATCCTCTTTGCAAATCCTAAATCTCATTTCCAGTGCACTGTATTAATCTGTCTCAGTGCCATTCAATTACAGTGAATTAAACAGTCAGAGCTTTTTTGCTTGCAATTGTTCTCTTTAATTAAATATATACATATTTTACTGCTATATTGGCCTCTGGAGTGGGGTAAATCAAAATGAAAATAAGCATTTATCTTATTTTGCTCTAGCCAATGCTGTTATATGCAGTCTCTTCCAGAACTTGTCACACTCCCATGAGTGACTGTGAGCTTTTCTGAGCTAGATGTCTTAATTTTCACATAAGTGAAAATACTTATTCATGTATGTAAACTGTTTTTTATTTTTCTAGGCACCCACTATTTCCCTTGTTAGCACTATTATTTGAAAAATGTGAACAATCTACACAAGGCTCAGAAGGCACAACTTCTGCCAGTTTTGATGTAGATATTGAAAACTTTGTAAGGAAGCAGGAAAAAGAAGGAAAACCCTTTTTCTGTGAAGATCCAGAAACTGATAATTTAGTAAGTATTAGCTGTTCCTTTCATTTCTGAGACAACCATCACATTGGCAGCTTCTTCCTAATTTCTGATCTCAAGTGGTCCTTGTAGTTTCTCCTTACATTTTTCTGCCTGTGAGAGATTCTTCTTTATGTTGATGATTAAAAATGTTTTTTAAAATTTCTTCTGACCCCCTTTTCCCTTTTGTCTGTAAATTTACATTGGGCTCTTCACAGTTGTTTCCTATTCTCAGCTGACATGAGTGTAATAGAGACAAACAGAAACAAATCCTTTCCGTAGACAGACTGACTCTGGAAATTAATTTTAGAATGTTGGGTGTTTAACATATTTATCAAAAACATGTAATTGATGTAAATTTTTTCCAATTTTATTTAAATCATGCCTCAACTAGTTAATGTGAGGGAAGAGCTATTATAAGATGGTCTTAGAAAGTCTTTACCATATATAATTTTTTCTTTCACATCATTAACTCCTTTAGGCTTTCTAAAAGTCATTCCTGTGATGAAGCTGTGATTTCCCTATTTTGAATATACCTGCCTTCAATATTTTAGTCGAAAATGAGAGTTAGTTCTGTTCTGCATGAAGCAGGTCTGCTGACTTGTTAAGCCTCAGGTTATTTTCTTCATTTGTAACTCTCTGAATCCAACACAATCACTGTTTTCCCATATTTCTCTAATCCATGTTTCTCTAATTTCAGAAGCACATCTGGGGTCTAATAGCTGGAATGTAGGAGCTGTGGCTCAGTGAATGAGGAAAGAGCAGTGCTTGTAGTTTGTCTTGACTTTTGAGCTCTCTTACAATGTCCTCATAGACAAACTGACAAGACAGGGATGAGATAAATGAGCAGTGAGGTGGGCTGAAAAATGGGTGAACCCCTGGGCTCAAGGGGTTCTGGTCAGCAGCATGAAGTCCAGTTGGGGGCAACCCATAAGTGCTGTTCTCCAGGGACTGATTGTGAAACCAGAGCTGTTCAACATTTCCATTGCTGACTGGGGTGATGGGGCAGGCTGAGCCCTCAGCAGGGCTGCAGGTGTTGCAGAACTGGGAGGAGGGGCTGATGCACACGTGGCTCTGCCACCATTCAAAGGTACTTCATTGCTTTTGGAGAAGCAGAAAAATGGAAACCTCATGGAATTCAGCAAAGGGAAATGCCAAGTCCTTGTCATGGTTTGACGCTGGCACAATGGCAGTGCCCCCATGAAAATATATTCTCTCTAGTGGCTGCTGTAAGATGTGACCAGAAATAGAGGAAAGCAGGCTCCAGCTTAGGAATAAAGGAAAAAACTTTATTAACTTACAATATGTAAAAAGGAACAGACACAGAACTCAGAACGAAAACCTTCCAAAACATTCCTCCTCCTCTCCCCAAATTCCACCACAGCACAATGAGATAAAACCTTAGATTCTTAATGCAGTTACCACCCCTCAGACTGTCAAATCATAACAGTCCTAATGGGCAAAAAGACAGACTGACTCCTCAGGGCAAGAGGAAATGGGCATGAACTTACTTAGGAAAGGGTGTGAAATACAGGAGGTTCCATTAAACCTTTTTACTTTGAGGGTGATTAAATACTTCAGGCTGCCCAGAGAGTTGTGGAGTCTCCATCCTTGGAGACAGTCAAACTCAGCTGGACGTGACCCTGAGGAACCTGCCCTACCTGACCTTGCTTTGAGCAGGGGGGTTGGATTAAGCCATCTCCAGAGGTCCCTTCCAACCTCAGCTACTCTGTGGCTTCTGTGAGCCTCCAGAGATTGGTTTCCCAAAGATCCTGCTTGCCTTGGCCTGTTCCCTGTGCTTTTTGGTCATACATAAACACTCTTTCAGATCCAGCTTGCTTTGGTTGTAGCTGGGTCTGGTGTGTTCAAATAGTCCTTCCTGTCATTGACCTGTTTATGGTTTCAGTTTGTGGTTCTAGTGACAAAGTCTCTTGGATTATGTGGTGTTCTCCTTTGCTGAATACTGATGGGCTGCACAAACCTGGCTGGTTTTGCTTGAGGTGGGTGAGGAATTATTTATGTCCTGGATTCCATGGCTGCTGAGGTCAGTAGTGGCTTAAACTGGAACCACATTGCAAAATCAAAAATCCTTGGCATTGAACATTGAATCCTGTAGTCATATTGTGAGCTGTGACTTTCTGTTACTGGATACCAAATGAAACCTGAGTGCAGCTTGTCCTCTGCCTGTCCTGGAGGCTGGGAACTCTGAACAGCTGACATTTTGACAGCTCTTCATTTGATGTGGGGCAGTCAGCACAAGCTTCTCTTAAGTTGTGAACTGGCTAGCATGGCTTTCAGTCTCTTTTCAGCTTGAAATATTGGTGCTTGCCACAGGGAAGGCTGTAGACAGGCAGTTTTTTTCTGCCTCGTGTCACACATATACATTTTTTTTATAAAGAGTCTCTCTTTAGTAGCAAGAAACACTATTGTGCACCTTGGTTTCATCTTCTGCTCATGCTGTCTTTCCCTTTTTAACTCCAATGTTAATTCAACCATTCATCTGAAAGGAGAAGCTGTTAAGACTGATAATTAGACGGGGTAGAAGGGTGAGCAGTCAAACAAATAAGGTGTAAATGTTTGCTCAGTAGGATCAACTCGGGCCAGAGCTAAACTGAGATGAACTGAGCATCACAACACTAAAGAGCCAAATTCAAATCCTATCTGAGAGTCACAGGCCCATTACAGTAAGGAAATTGGTCAGCTGTTTCATTTTTTTTTTCCTTTTACCTCTTTGAGATGTGGCATGTAGAACTCAGCCAGACTGCAGTTTCTGTGACAGGGCTTCAACTGACAGCTCCAAAGCAGCAGAATATAATGCCATGCTCCATGCTCCCTATGGGCTAATTAAGTAGATAACAGAAATTAGGAAGGGTCACAGATAGTGATTGTAGGGTCACTTACAGTCCTGGCAATGTTCCACATTGTGCACTCACTTGAAGTGCCTTGAATACTCCACAAGAGGAATTTGGAGTTCTTCCAGAGGACCACAGAATGTTAATCTGGGTGGCACAGGCATTAGATCAGTTTGACCAGAAAGGAAGTTCATTAAGAGCAGTGGGTGCTTGTTCCAATTTGAGTAGCTCTTAGTAAGCTATGGTCTAGATTATCTTGTTACTTTGGTATTATAATTCCCATTCTAAATTAATTGGTGGCTTCCTGCTTTAGTATTAAAAAGGATTTCAGCAAGGATTTCTCCAACATCAGCTGGTGATCTTGAATCAGCAGGACAAAGGATCATAGTCAATCCAGGAGAATTGTTACCAGGCCTTTTTTACTTCTTCAGGGTCTTTCCCAGGTTTGGGTGCAATCCAGGGCCACGTGCTCTGGGATGACCCTGTGGTTCTGTACTGCAGATCTCCTGTTTTCAAATCCTGTGTGAAGGAGGTAGAAGCTGAAGTTTGTGCTTGTGTTCTTACAGACTGGAAATGTGCTTTCCTAGAGCCTCGACTTCCTCTGTGTCTTCTTGGAATGTTATTTGCATCCCCTTAGTCCTCTTACCAAGCATCAGTGTCAGAAGATGTGTGTTTGCTGTCAATGACCAGATTTTGGTGGTCTCTGTTGCTGCTTTCTGGAAGTGTGCTCAGCTTATCTACATAACTGGGAGTATCACCTGTAGGAGCTCCACACCCTTTTCCCCTCACCCTTTGCTATCCCTGCCTCATTTTCACAGATAAAACAGATCCTGGAATGAACCAACTGCTCTTTGTTTCCATCAGTCTCCTTTTGTGCACAGGACATCCACAGACTCCTCCATGTCTAAGAAGTTGTTCAGCATGGGTGCTTGCAGAGAGTTTTTTTAGAACTTTCTCAGATTATTTTATGTTTGAAGACATTCATTGCTTAACACTTTTTTGTCGCTCACTGCTAACCCAGGCACTGCAGAAATACCACATTGCCTCAGGGTGGTTCCTGCCTCTCTGTTCAGAGTAAACTCTTCCCACACATGGGTGGATTTTTTAATTTCTCCATATTCATAGGAGAATATGGAGAAATTCATAGGAGAATAGGAGAATTCATAGGACCGTAGGATGGTTTGGGTTGCCCTACAAGCTCAGGTGTCCAACCTCCTGCACAGAGTAGGGTCAGCTGTGAAGTCAGAGCAGGTTACTTATGGCTTTGTCAAGTCTAGACACAATACAAAAGAAGGGGTGTTAAATCTACTCTCCCTTTTGTATTTGAACAGGACACTGCCTTTTTTGAAGACCCCCGAGTTTTTTGTTTCGTTTGGGGTAAGGATTTTTGGTTCAGTACCCTCTTCTCAATTCTCTTGAATTCTTAGTTGTGTCTGGAGCCTGAGCTGTAGAGGTGAAGCCAGCTGATGTCATTTGAATATTGACTGACCAAGCCTTTCTGAAAAGTGTTTTTGCTGTTTTAATGTGCAGAACTGTCCCATAAACCTCTAGTTACTCCTTTTCAAGCTATGTCTCATAGCTGAGGACTCAAAATAGAGGAGTGAGGTTATCAAATCAAAACAAATGAAAACAAAATAGCCTTTCTCCCAGAGTTTGTGTTCTTCCACTGAAAATCTGAATTGCTGCAGGAGGATTTGGGTCAGGGAGGTAGGTAAACTGTGTATGTATATATTTTAATTGGTTTATTTGCAAATGAAGAGTCATTTGAGTGAAATTGCTTGTCAGTATATGGAGATTCTTTCATGTATGTTGCCCACATGTGCAGTTGATGTGCTCTGAAATCCATAAAGAACTGTGGCTGTGTGTTTTACATCAGCACAGGTGAGCTGGGGATCACGACTGAGGCAGTTTGTGCTGTGTCTGTGCCTTTGCACCATGGGCTTGAGGCACTGAAGGCAGGACACAAGCACAACATGGAGCATATTTAGGCTAAAGATAGCCTGAATTTATTAAATTTGGAGACATATTTATATATGAATAGGCTCCTGATCGCAAGAACTGGAAGTTTTTCAATAACTTTTCTTTCTCTAATAGTTTACCTTTATTTAAGCAATTTCAGCAATAGTGCAATGTGTCCCTGCTCATGGCAGGGGTTGGAATGGGATGATCTTTAAGGTCCCTTCCAACCAAAACCATTCTAGGATTGTGTGAATATACACAAATCTCATGGTTACTTCATCTTCGTTCACTTCTCTGAAGTGATACTCCAGTTTTATTGCTACAGCTGAAAAGACTGAATCAGTTATAAAATGTCATTTTTCTGTGGCATATTCTATGCAGTAGCACTGAATGCAATATTACTGCTGCTGTGACTTGTCTAAAAACATTTCTTTGTATTACCTTTGTCCAACGCTTGAGTTATTTTATCTGGAGTTCTTGATTTTTGTAGTTTTAAGGGAAAAGTGAACTTCTGCTGACATTGAATTTGGTCCACCTGTGCTGCAAGAGAGCAGGAGCCATATGGCCACAATTAATGTAGCTGTAAATGAATTAATAAGTTCTGGTGACAGGCATGGCATATTTACAAAGTTTTGTTTTCCTCCTAAGCACAGCAGCACAGCTTCCTGCAGGAGCAGTGTGATGGAGAGGGGCCCTGCAGAGACCTGGGTAGTGTTACTGAGTCTGGGTTTGTGGTTAATTTTGACTTAATTCAATTTTCACCTCAAGTATCAACTATCAATTTTAAACTAAGTCTAGGTTGAAGAAAGGACTTTCATTTTTCCTCCAAGCACATGCTGATAAATAAATAGTACAAATTTGGCTAATGTTTAAAAAAACCCAACTCTCTTGACTGAGCAAAAATAAACTACTCTCTATTATGGTCAAATATTATGTGTCCAAAAGCATATTTTGTTACCTCAGTTTTAGCTGAATGTTCAAACACTCAATAATGTGATGTGCAATTTGCTGATTAGTCGCACATGAAGAATTTTCTATTTTAAGCTTTTTGCCTCTGAAACAGAGACAGAATTTCTTGAAACACAGATGACCTTTGTTTTGTGTTAAAATTTAGTTACATTTGCATGCTTTAACTTTGTTATGTTTAAAGGTGCTTAAGCACGGTTTAAAAAGCAACCTGGGCTGGATTAGAAAATCACTGGTTTGTGTCTCAGTGCTGGGTCACTGCACTCAGTGTTTCAAAGGCTTTCAGTGTCATAGGTCAAAAGAGTTACCAGATATTCATTTGGGTCAGCTCCCTCAAAAAACAGCTCAGGTGTTTCTGCAGCTCTTTTTTGAAAGATGTAATTTATTTATTTTTTTTTTTTTTATCCCTGAGAAGAAATTTTTTTTAATTCCTTCATTTCTTAATTTTTTTTTTTTCATCTTGTTTATTTTAACACACAGTTGTCTACACCGAGTGAGTGTCTCAGAACCTTTTGCTGAAAAAACAGGGAAAATATCTGTCTCAATGAAAGCTAAAATGTCATGATGGAGATAGGAGCACACTCAAAAGTTTTCTTGCCTTGATGTCCTTTGGATGCCTTGAGCAAAGGCATCTTCAGCTCCCAGTTGGCTTCTTGAGGTGGAACTAATAAATAAGTTAGTTTGGAGGGTCTAATTTCTGTTCACTGGATTCAATGCCCTGCCCAGGTAAATAACCCCTCATATAGGACAAATTTTTCCAAATAATTGTAAAGTCAAGCTCCGCATTATGCTTTAAAACTACAAGTGTTCAGTTTCATGAAACTGAAGGATATTTGTCTCAGAGATCCAGCTCAGCACAGAAATGTTGGGGATGGCGTGTGGTATTAAAAATAATTACTTTACTGGTGTGTTGTGTACGTATTTGAATGTCCTGGATTTCCTGCTGCTGTTAGACCATCTGGATTTGGCTTTAGCTTCTGATCTTCTGCCATGACCCTTACAATCACCTAAGCTATTTTCATGCAATATGTAATACCATTGGTTATCCAGGCTTACAGTGTTTTTCTCACAGTGAGCATGATAAGTATTCTCCTCACATACATATCTCCTGTACTTGGATTTTAGCTTAAACATGGATTACTTTTTAAATTTGGTTTAGTGCTTTTTATTTAATGTTTTGTATTTCAGAATCAGTCTCCTCACCTGAAAGTTCTTACAAGATTTTACCTGAGAGCTGTTCATCTTTGACATACAATCACAGAGGAACTTAAAAGCTGTAGCACTGAAGAACTGTTTGATTACTTTAAGCTACAGTGTGACTAAATTTGGGACCTCCTTATTCTAATTTTATTGAAAAATAAAAGCTTTCATCCTCCCTAGCAATCTGTGGAACAAATTGATGCTTAATCACAGGAGCGTCTTCTTTCTCACTGTATCTCAAACCCTTCTGGTTTCCTTGTGTCAGGGTGGAGCTGAACCTGCTGTTTCTGATTTATAGAGCTCCAGAGAACTGCTGCTGGCCAAGCCTGTCCCAGCCCTGCCTTCCAGACCTTTTCTGGGGATGGGATTGCTTTCCATCACTTCCACTCTTGTGTGGTCTGTGCCCCAGAGGTGTAGGAGGGGTTAAAGACCACATGGACATCCAGGCTCATCCTGTGCCCTGAGCTGCTCTGTCTTCCTGAAGTGTCACACATGACAAAGATCACTTTGGTGTCCTGTTCTGTTTCCCCTGTGTGCCAGTTTCCTTGTGTTCCTTTCACATTCCAGGATTTAGCAATTAGTACCTCTGCTTTAATTGGGTGATCTTTGTTACTGGAAAGCAGTGTTTGCTTAAATCTCACATTAAATTTATTTTTTTTTTTACAAAGTTATTTTGTTTCTGATTTTTTTTTCCAATTCTCTCCCTCAGATGGTAAAAGCAATCCAAGTTCTGCGTATCCATCTGCTGGAGCTGGAAAAGGTTAATGAACTCTGCAAGGATTTCTGTAGTCGTTACATTGCCTGCCTGAAGACAAAAATGAATAGTGAAACTCTGTTAAGTGGAGAGCCTGGAAGTCCTTATTCACCTGTGCAATCTCAGGTGTGTTTCAAATGCTGTTCAGTGGATTTTTGCTCAGATTGCCTTAGGAAGTTACAGCTATGCTTCTTTTGCTATCAGTTTGCAAACAGAGTTTCTGCAGTTTCCTGTATTCTCTCAAATCAGTTATTAAGAGTAGGAAAAGCTTTTTTTTCTTTTTTCGGTGCCACTGCCTGATGGACAAATTTGTTGAAATGTGCCAGAGCACAGAGTCAATTTTTTATTATCTGTCTTCCTTTTATGATTTTCTCAGTTCTGCAAGTGGAGATATTCAGAATAGCCTGGATTTGCTATTTAGTTGGAAGGAGGTTAGAAAAACAGAATAAACAAAGAAAAAAAATTGAGCTTGTTAAGGCTTCCTTAGTCTGCCTCCTTCATTAAAACATCGAGATGACTAATATATATTATACACAACCTCTATTCTGGAATAAATAGACAATATCTGATGGATTAAATTTACAATATTGCATTTTCTGTATTAAATGGATCACAATTTATAGGTTATGGTTGATGTTTTTGCTGTCAGATGCTGCAGTGAGCCCTGCCACCCCAGTACCCACTTGATCCTGAGTCTTAGGGCATGGCCTTTCTCTGAATTACTCATGTATCTGATCCTCTGTATTAAAAAAAGCCACAATGACTTTTTAACTTCACTTTCTGGACTCTTTACGTAGGTTTTGATGTGTGGAAGTGTGGAAAGGAGATTATAAAATCAGGCAAAAAAAAGCTTTTAAAAGATTTTTTTTTCTGTACATCTCTTACAGTTTGCTGTAGAGACATGGGGGACCCATTTTGCATTTGCTATCAAAAGAGATTATTCATACACACTAAGTAAGAGTTTGCATGTTCAGGGTTGAGTAGAAGCTATCTTGAGCAGAATAAAACATACTGAATATTTAATACATTATGTTCAAATTGAAGGGATTGAGGTAATAACTAAAATTCTAAAGCTTTGATGCTTGTAATAAGAGCATCAAGGGTCATTTCATTTGTCCTTTTTCCCTCTTGCCTTTGGAAACTGTTTCTTATTCTTTACATACCTAGAACTAAAATTTCTCAAAATTGTTACACATCTTTTCTAGCAGTTGCTTTCATGAGGGTTTTCAAAGGTAATGGTTGGTGATAATGAGGAAGTTAATGCAGGTAATGATAAACCCCTAATGAAGTACCTTTCTCTTTGAAGGTAATCCTGTGATTAAACTCCAAAAGTATTTTAGAGCCAAAAATACCCAAAACAAATCACAAAAATACACAAGCATGCTTGATCTCCTTACATGAAAAAAAAAAGAGAGTTACAAAATTGTACAAC